GAAGTAGTCAACTAAATTAACCGAATTCAAGATAAATATTTATTTTTTTTATACATTTATTTGGATAATGATACCAAGAGATGTAGATGATTTTTTTATTAAGTTTTTCATGATTTTTTAAACAATAAAAATGAAATACAAAGTTACAAGCATGGTTTCAAATTTTAATTTAAAGTCGATTAGATAAAATCAAGATAATATATCATAAAAATAAATTCAGGTTGATTAAATTAATTTAATTTTTAAAAAATAAATAAAATAATATTATTTTAATTAAAATTTTAAAAAAAATCAACAAGTTTTTTATAAAATTTTATCAGGTTAACTATATCATAAATCAACTATTTTTTTTCTTCAATCCAAATCAATTTAACTGCTAAATCTTCGATATTTTAAATTAATCTGGCAGATTCGTCCGGGTTTTTAATAAAAAATTATTTGCTCTTTCCAGATTTACTAGACAATGAAACCCAGAAGTGTAGATTGTAGATCATCTGTTAGCTAAGTTATTAACATCTTTTAATTAAATTCAAGATAATCCACAGCTGGTTGGCACCTGGCCGTGGCGCGTAACCGGACAATCCTTTATTTTTCTTCTTAGTTGGTTCAACAAGGAGAAGCTTTTTATTATTCCATTTTTACCCTCCTTCCACTCGTCCACCGGCCACCTAGTGGCGTCAATAATTAGATCTTCCTTCTGAAAAGGATAAAATATTACTAGTTCTCATCCATTCTTTTTGTCCATGGATGGTGTCCACTGCCACCCACTTTTATTTTAACTTAAAAGCCGTGTCGCCGCCATTAATTCAGGTTCATCGGCATTTAAAATCCCCCGTACCGTCCCCCCCCCCCCCCCCGACCGAAACAGCTGCCAAAATGACTAGATGAACTTCCCCTTACGATGCATTGCTCCAGCCAAAAACAAAGTGAGAACAAGAAATATCAGCACAAATCATCGACATTCAGAGTCAACAAGGCTCTTGTATAACCCAGGAAACCTTGTTGTTGGGCATTAAAAATGTAAAAACCGTTGCTGGCCAGGGGCGGATCAAGAAAAAAAAAATTAAGAGGCCAAATTAAAAATTAAAAAGCCAATTTAAATTTGTAATTATTTTCAAAATATTTACAAAGGAAAGAAAGGAAAGAACTGGGAAAAATATTTCCTGCAAGGGCTGGGGCCCCTACCATAATAAAGAAATCAATGATAATTAGCATCTCTAAACCATCACCATAGAATTTAGAGAGAGGTTAATTCAATAAAATCAAGGAATTAATTTATTTAGAATCTTTAAAATGAAAATCTTTAAACTAATAAAAAAAAGAAGCAAACATCTATTCCCATTATATAACTAATAAAAAGAAGAAGCAAACATCTATTCCCATTATATAATTTGATATTTATTAATATCAGGTCTGCGGCTCGCTTCAAAAACTTGTAATTAAGAATCAAATTGAAGCTAAATTTTAATTTCAACTAAAAAAGATATTAACTTGATCAAACCTCATTTACTCAATAGATTGATACATAATCCAGTCAAATTCACCTTAAATTAAATCAAGTTAACAATATATATATATATAGCCAATTGCTCGCTGTTGATGGTGGGTGGGGGGGAAATATGTATATATTGCCATTGCCATCGTATTAAAGATGATCTTGTGGAATCCTCAGCATGGCAGAGTGCGTAAGATTGAAAGGTACAAGAGGTGATGCATGTACAACAAACAGTACAGGGACAACACCAGTCCTTGGTATTTTATTTTCAATTTCCAAGGACCAGCAGGCCGATGTGTTCTTTAGCAACAAAAGTTGGACCGATTTTGAATATTCTTCGTTTAATTCCTTCACATGTTTCTTTTCTCTGTTCTTTATGATGATCATCGTCTTTAGAAGAAGCTCGTCTTGGTTGTTGTCTTCAAATCTTTATCTATACACTATTTTATTTTCTAATAATTATTGTTCTATTTAATTAAAAGGTTAATTAAAATTTATTGTTTTATTTTTTAAAATAATATTATTCTATTATTTTTAATAAAAATTTGTTGATGTTTAGCCATCAAAGTTGATCAGATTAATATAGATACTAGTTTATCTTAAAATTCAATTTAAACCAGTTTTTTAATCAATGATTTTTCAAACCAACCCCTCCTGAAATCTAGTTGAATAACTGCGCTTAAAAGAGGCGGCAAACTTAAACAAAATTCGTAAAGGATATATTAGTCAATTACCAGGGTTTGGATTGGATGTCACCTAGGATAGGAACCACAGGTTTCTAGAAGATTTCTCGTTATTAATAACACGACAAGACACGACACGGTCCCGTTCTATCTTAACAAGTGTCCAAAGTACATTGTATTGGAGGATATTTTAGTCAATTAGGTATCACCTGACAGATAAACAAGAAGCTAACCCTTGTTGCCGACCGTTAACTGACGAAGGCGTTAGGTTTCATTAACACTGCTACATCGAGCGCGTGATTTCACCGCAAACAATTCAATTTTACACCAATAAGTAATTCCTTTATTGTAGTTGAAAAGCATGTTTTTATCCAAAAATAATTGATTTAATTCGAGTTAACTTGCTGTATAAATATGAAATTAAAATAATTATATAAAAAATAAAATAAAATATTAATTATCGATCGAGTTTGTGAAGAAATTTGGTGTAAAATGCTGTTTGATACCTAACCATCTGTGATAAGAATGCATGGAACTCCATTTCAAATTAGAGAAAGGAATCTCAGTGGGTTGGAGAAATGAGAGGGCTACTTTCTCTGTTCCTCGGAAGACGGCCCTTGCAAGGCAAGATTGTGCTGTCGTTGGTCCAAAGAGAGAATAACTTTTTGACTTCAAAATCTTAAACCAGACATCAAATCGAAGGCACTGGCAAGTTCTTGCATCCAAAGTTTAGCATGGTTATGAATGATACGGAAAAATCGAACAACAAGGTATCTAGATATATCTTTCTTTTTCTACCTTTTTATTTAATATAGATACCCAAATAAATTTAAATATACTTTAATTATTTTTATAAATTCTAAAATTAACAATTTAGTAACTTTATAAAAACTTAAACATGTAATTATTAGAGAATAGATCTAAAACGTGAACAATTAAACTATCCTTTAGAGTTAAATTTTTTATTATTTTTATATGGTTTTAATATTTTAATATTAAAAATAAAAAAAATATATTTTTTTAATATTTTTTAAAACAAAAAATATTTTAAAACACAACATATACTATTTTTTTACATAGATATTTAAAACTTGTTTGTTTTTTTCCTTTCAAAAGCATGTTTAAGAAAATTTAAAATTTAAAATTTTTAATTTTTTTACTCAAATTAATTTTGTTTTATATTTTTAAATTTAAATATTTTTGATGTGATGATATTAAAAATAAAATTTAAAATTTATTTTTAATATCAGCATATCAAAGTAATTTAAAAAAACATAAAAAATAATTTAAAATAAAAAAATAAATTTTTTAAAAATAATTTTCGAAACATGAAAACAAATAGCAAATGATCTCTAAGTATCTAGTTGAAAGTGTGGTATATATTGCATTTTAAAGAAGTTTTTGCTCAAAAATATATTAAAATAATATATTTTTTATTTTTAAAAATTTATTTTTAATAGTATCACATAAAAAAAATAAAAAAATTAATTTTATACCAAAAAAACTTAAAATTTGAACAACCAATATTTCAAACGCGCACCAAATGTTGATGGTTCATGTGTGTCCATGCATAGCATAAATGCGTCGCCCTGTTTTCATGCCATGGTAACACGTGTCAAGGGCACAACGTGATACATGAGATCAGTCGATGAATTTTAAAGAGCCGGGGCGTCAGACAGCGCTGGTAAATTATGACTTATAGCTGTGTAATTTAGATTTTAAAGTCCAATCAGTGTTAAGACATCTGGCTGGTTAATTCGGTAACTTATAGCTGTGTATTTAAAACTCTTTAAATTGAATATAACCCAGAGATTTGAATACAATTTTGCATTTAAAATTATTTTAATAGCCAAGAATTGAATCTTAAATAAAATTCAATATCTATAAATAATATAAAAATAAATCAGAAATCAACCCCTCTAATTTATTATATTAAAGTAAAAATTTAATATTAAAACTAGCATTTTTATAATATTTACCCATTGATCCTTTTATCATTACTCTTCTCTCTTTTCTCACGAGAGTAATATAAAAAATAAAATGAATTGAATTTAATGATAAAATATCTCTTTTTAAAAATATAAATTTAATTTGTTTATCAATTAAATTCAAATTAAATATTATAATTGAATTGAATTATAATAGGAAATTTATTCCAAACAGTATGAAGAAGAAAATAATAATATAAATATATTATCTATCCAATAAAGAAAAATCAAATAAGGACCCCATTTCTGGTGATGAAATCCAAAAGGGCAGGTAAAATGCAATTTTCACTACATGTTTGGGTAATCAGTTTGCCTCACATTTTCTTTTCATGGGATGTTTGATTCAAGGGTTGAATGGAAATATTTTTTAGAATATTTTTTAATGATTTGATATGTTAATATTAAAATAAAAAACATTTTAATATATTAAATAATCCTTATTGCATTACCAATCTCAAGCTTGGATTTCATTTTTTTTAAATTCTACTTTTAAGTTTTAACAATACACATTTCTCCAATTTCACAATAAAATATTTTCTTAAAATTTGAATTATTAATGAAGATAAGTGTGGATTGAGAAGTGAAAAACTTGCCTATTTTTCATGTAAAATCCGAAAATAAAACAGCAATAATTCCCCTCCAAACAAAATTTACACAACAAGCCAAAGAAAACATTTGATTGAAAAACTCAAGAGCGAGTGAGGGTGGGATTTGATTATGGAATCGTCCTTGTGCACAACCCTACAGTGACTTGGCCCTTCCATGGCAAGTTTGGGACCACACTAGAGATTCAAAAAAAAAAAAAAGGAGGCTATAAAATACTTGAGACAAGGTCAAATACTAGGGGCTTACCATACTTGCCACCATTTACAACCAAAATTAAAAGGCAAAGACTGAAACTTTCCTTTTTTTGAGTTGTGATCACCACCACCACCGCCACCACCCTCAACAAACCTCCCTCAAATTCCTACAATTCTTCAGCTACCAAGATTTATTCTTTCATAAATCAAGTCTCTGAAATAAATCCACAAACCCTCCTTTTTTTTTCGTTAAAAGGGTTTTGATCTTCACTCCTTGCTGTGTTTTCTATGCTTGGAACTCAGTTTCAAACACCGTTTCTTGTTTAAAAAAACTGTCTTTTTTAGCTTCTTGGATTTTTTGAGGATGAATAACAGGAGGAGACAGAGAGGTGAACTTTATCAACATCAAGAAGTTCAAGGGACAACAAGATCACGTTGTAGAAAACCTCCTCATCATCATGGTATGCGGAGCTCTTTTCCTTATTTTCTTTTTTCTAGGCTTTGCATGAGGAGTTGCTTTGTGATTTTCGTTAAAGATTATGTTTTTTCTTTCAGATTTTGTTGTGGCTGCCTCTGTTTCATGTTATTGCTCTTCGTGTTATGTTTTTTTTTTTATATACATATATTTTTGAAAAAAAGTAGTATCTTTCGGCTGGGGGCTTTGATAAAATAGGATGCCTTGTAACATGTTGGATTTTTTTCTCTAATTTGTGTACTTGCATCATTATTTTGTACACCTTAATTTGTTTAGAATCGGTGGTTGTTTTATGGGGTTCTTGATAATGTTAGAATCTGATGTAGCTTTCTAGATTTCTGTGCTTGTCGTTAGGGTATGGTGCTTCGTGATTTGTGCAGTTTCTGTTTAGAGTCTAAATATGTTGATGTGTTTTACTTTATTTAAATATGCGTTTTTTTGTGAAATTTCTGGTCGTCTGGTCTATTTTAGCAGTGAATGTTGATTTAGATACGCAGCTTTGGGAATTCGTTCAAGTTCTGAATTTTACTACACTGACAAGAAACTGAACGATATGAAAATGTTAAAATGTATCAGGGATTTTTCTTAGACATGTATGCAAATTCCATAAAAAAGCCCTCGAAACTAGAAAACATGACAGGGAAAGAATGAATGTCTAGGTGTTCCTAGCTAGGTTTATACAAGGTTTGTGTCATATTTGTAGTTTCTTTTTGCTTCTTAGAGATTTCTGTTGTCCTTTTCTCTGGCTTTCTTCTGTCACTATATTTGGCACTACCTGGTTTCAGCAATAATTCTGCAGTTCTCTCTTTATGAAGTTGTTTTTCTTCTACTTGTCTTTGAAATAATGATGCTTTTTTTCTGTTTGTCTATGAGTAGTTTACCTTATATTCTCGCTCTATTTTTTTCAGGTAGTTGGCAGCCAACTGTTCCATCATGGGAAAAGAGATTCTGCTATTCAGTTGGTTCAATTCCATGGAGGAAGCTCCTGGAAACCAAAAGATTTATGTATCTCTATGAGAATGTAGTTCAGTGGAATGACTCAGCTGGTGAAGAGGCATTTCACAATGCTAAAAACCGATTTTGGGCAGAGATTAATGGCCTACCTTGCAACATATCACTGCCTGATCCTGATATTTATATTGATCAAATTGATTGGAACTCCAATGTTGATCCTGAATTGCTTTTAGACTTGGAGCGGGAACAGAAAGATGGTGATGAGACTAGCAAAGGGGAGGAGGTTGTGATTATTGGCAATCCTCTACTCTTGAATCAGCCATTTTCATGTGCTGGATGGGGGGAACTTGAGGAGGAATTTCAAAAGGTTCCTGATTTGGCATTGGATCCTGGACTTGGGGATTTCAACCATAAAGCCACCAAAGATGATTTTCCCTGGGAAAAGAGTGTTCCTCTTCCTAATGAAGCCATGGCTGAAGATGGATGGGGAAATTGTTGGGATGATTCATGCGGTTGGGGCAACAGTGAGTGGGTTGCTAATAATGACTGGAAGAATGTCAGTGAGGGCACTGCTGCTGAGTGGGGAACATGGGATGGGCAAGACCAAAAGAGGGAAGGTGCTGTACGTCACATGTCAAGGTATAAAACCTCCAGGTTTCACGGTGATGAATATCCAGTAGGCCGTGGATTGTGGAGGCATGGAAGAGGGAGGAGGAGGGTAAATTTTGTTTGTTGACAGCTACTTCTGGGAGAGGCTGTTCAAGGCAGTGGAACTCCAAGAATCCTCCTGGATTGCCTGCGTACTTTGGTTGAATCGGGGCATAAAGTTTTGCAAGTGTGAAGTATATAATACAACTACTTAGGTGGTTTGTCTCCCTATTGTTTTATTTGTTGTGTATCGAAGCATATACTAGTAGTAAATATAATAGGATGATAACAACTTGACAAATTCAATGTCATGTTGGATTTTATGCTGCGGTTTTGTAGTTTGCTTTAAGAAGTATGAGAGTGTTTCTTGATATGTTATCAAGTATAGGTATATTTATGCATGTAATGAGGATTCTAATCCTAATTTTAGAGGCAGAATCATGTCCCCTGCCGTCTCTGCATGGATGCTATTGAGAGGTTGTTATTTTTGTTATCCTGATGATGATTCTTGTATTTAAAGGCTGTTTTCTTCTTTGCTACTGCTCCTAACATAGCTTTCCATGGCATTCTGAAGCTTTATAGTCGTCAATTGTGGTTGCCCTGAAGTTTAGAGTGGAAGCTATATTCTTACTTAAGATCAATGTTAGGTACTGACAAATCGTAATAATTATCAGACATGGATAAAATTATGCCAGGCATTAAAAACATTTTAGATTAGTCTATAAAGTCTCATCAATCCACACCGGTGCACATTATATATTTATTCAAAATTACAGGCAATTAAATCACGTGAATTGATGACAGACATTTCTCTAAAGATTAACATTATTCATTGGAACTGTCTGGAAAATTGTCTCCAGCCCAATACGACAAATAGCTTTGATAATTATGTTTATTGACTAGCTGTTTCTTATTGAATAACAAGGATAGATCATTGGCCTTCGTTTTAATAGCTTCATTTTAGTTCTTTCATCTTTTAATTTATGAGATAATTATTTAGCTGGTTTGTGTTGTTGGTTTTGTTTACATGAATCCGGATCCCAGTTATTAATAGCTTAATGCGTTTTAAGCTTTATTAACTGTTTAGTTTTTTGCTTGGCTAGGTTGTCATGGCAGCTGAACATGAAAACCCCAATTCATCGAATTTACCGGTAGAATCTTCTGCTTTTGTTACTGATGATGAACTGATGATTGATAGTACTAGTCCTATTCCACTAGCAATCCCACCTTCAATACCGGCTGTGCCTCCTAATGCTCCGATACCCACAGTTCCTCCTCGCCCGCTAGTGCCTTTCCCCATCAGACCACCTGGGGTGCAAAATGGTGAGATGAGGACTACTGACTCGGATTCTGACCAAAATCAATTACGTCCCACTTGGACTGCCCTGGGGTCAACTGCAGGTTATGAAGTTTCAGGAACAATTCAGAGAAAACAAGTAATTTAGTAGCTTAACTGATAATAGGTTAATTAGGAGGAGAGGAAATTTCTTAGTCGATTGTATTTCTCAATCTAGATATAAATATACAATTGACCAAAAACCTCGTTAGTGGTTTGGCTTTTGAGAGTAACCACCCATCCATGTCTAGGAGTGTGTCCATAATATAAATAAATAAAAAAACTAGATAGAGAAAGGCAGGAAAAAGCAATGCAGGAGCTTATGGTGAAGTGGAGTGCTGCTGCTCTGGCAGTGCCTGCTAATGATATGGCAGTTAGGACTCATCCTCGCCGGCTTGGTGAGCCTGTAACTCGTTTTGGAGAAAGGGAGATGGAGAGACGGGACAGGTTGAGGATGCTTATGGCAAGGTTGGATTCTAAAGGGCAGTTGGAGAAGTTGATGAAAGCTCATAAGGAAGTGGAGGCTTCATCTACCGCATTAGCAAAAGATGCCGAGGAAGAAATGGCTCAGTATCCATTCTATACTGAAGGGTCAAAAGAGCTATTGGATGCTAGAATTGGTATTGCAAAATAATTTATTTCCAAGGCTGCTATGCGTCTTTAACCAACGTGCAAGGAGAAACGAGATGACCCAGATGAGGGTGAAGATGAAGATGCAGACATTGATTTGGCTCTGAACCAGGCAGAGAGTTCGAGTCTTAATAGCAGCGAACTTGGAGATGACCAGCCACTCTCTGGTTTTACCTTTTCTCTTGATGGAGAAATCCTTGCTACCTGTTACCTCTCTCTATCTCTCCACGACCCAATCCATTTCTGTTTGTTGTCATCCTTTTTCTGCTTGTTTTGTAAACAGTTGGTTTTTTCTTCTTCCACCACATGACATATCACATCTGGCACCATGGTCATTCTTTCTTACTTGGACCATACCCAATAACATAAAGTGAAGTACGGGTATTTTGTTTAGCAAACTATCCCTTTCCTGCTCTCAGTTACCATGATCGTTCCATGATCTGATTCCATGCTTTATTCAGCTTATGCAGTTCTTTAAGTGGAGTTGTTAAAATATGGAGGGTGCCTCAAGTAAGAAAGGTTTCTACCTTAAAGGGGGACACAGAATGTGCAACTGGTCGCCTTCTCTCTTGTGCACAATCACTCGGCAACTGCATCCGCTGATCAAACTGCAAGGTTGTGGAACACTGATGGTTCTCTCCTGAAGAAATTTGAAGGTCATCTAGATCGTCTTACTCAAATTGGTTTCCATCCATCAGGGAAGTACCTGGGCACCGCAAGCTTTGATAAGACATGGAGACTGAGGTATGGATTCTGGTGCGGAGCTGCTTCTTCAAGAAGGTCACAGTCGGAGTCTTTATGGAATAGCTTTCCACCATGATGGATCATTAGCAGTATCTTGTGGATTGGATTGCACGTGTTTGGAACCTACGTACTGGGAGAAGTACAATGGCATTGGAAGGCCATGTCAAGCCAGTTAGAGACTCTTTCCGAATCCTCTTTGTTCTCATGGGAATCTTGTTTTTGTTTGTTTGGAAAGTATAGTTGTTAAGTGGACTGTATTTATCATTCATATCATTTTCAGGTTCTTTAATCAGCTTTTCACCCATTGGCTATCATGCAGCAACTGGCAGTGAAGATAATATTTGCTGGATATCATACCAGCCCACTCAAAAACTGTATCCCAAGTTTGAGCCCCAAGAAGGCTGTTATCTGGTCACATCATCGTATGACATGACTGCTAAGGTTTGGTTTATTTCTAATCATGTGGATTGTTTCTGAATGCGTCGAACTTATATTTATTCTATTCTGTAATATACATGTATTCAACAGGTTAGGTCCGGCAGACATTTTAAACCTGTCAAGACATAATCAACTCGTGAAGCCAAAGTTATATCTCTGACTATTAATGCAGGCAACTTTCCGAACATAGACAAGTGATATATTCCCAAAGTTCTGATTATTTTACCTCTTCCCATGAACTACTTATCTTTTGTATGTTTCACCTTATTTAAACCATAATTGATGTGCTAATATCAATGCATTAGCGCCATTGCACCATTACCAGTGGTCCATGCTCAGAATATCTGGCCCTGTTTACTGTCTGCCAAGGATTTTTTTTTCCCCTTATATTGACAGTTTCTTTTTTGCTAAATAGTCTTTCGGCTTCTGCCAATTGCATTTACAATTTCTGTGCAACAAAAAATTGGCATTTTAGTTGGTTTTATTTGATTACAAAGATATGAAATGAGGCAGTAGCTATCTGTTGGTATCATACTTGCTGAGCGAGAATGCTTATGGATTTTCGTCTGAAACACCTTGAAAGTTACTAATGGTCATGTTTTATTTATCCAGTTGTGGGAGTTGATGCTGAGATACTCAGAGGTCTGGAAAGAGCTGCAATCAATAGGATTGTCCTAACCCTCCCTGAAAGGAAGAAGAAGGTGAGACTCCATTTCCTTTCCACAGTTCAAATACCTAGTACTTTCTGATTCAGTGTAGCCCTCATTAAAATTTTGCTTGTATGAATTATTACGTTAAGGCCACATGGATTAACTATGTTCCCTTGTCATTCTTGTTCTGCAATTTACTCAATTATAATAAGGTGTCATTTGTGTCTGTGTGCCAAAGGTAAAGGGCTTGCCTTGTCTGGTGATCATTTGAATTGTCTTTGAAATGATTAATCTAATTGTTCTTCTGGACGCTGGAAAGCTCATTTTGCGCTGCTAATTTATGAATTACCCGTCGCTTCATTTTGGTTGCATGAGTATTGCTTTTTGGTGGCAGACGGACATCATATTGCAACTCTCACATGATCGAACCATCAAGCTTGTATACCAGCAGAAGCAATGACAAGCATGCTATGGAGGTCGAAGGAGTTTGTTTTGGACTCTCTGTGGCAAACAAGTTAATTGTTAGCGGATTCTAATATTGTCATATAGCACTCCCAACTCTGCTTTGAGTGGAATACCCAACCTAGGAAATCATTTTTTTTTTCATTCTTCTTTCTAAGAGATCATTGCTTATTGTAGGTGAAATCTCACATCTACCAGATGGCTTTAATGTGCAGTGCTCCTGAAGTCTCCCTCTACGATTATAGTAGCATGTTATCCGCAATATGTTCATGAATCTGTGAGGAATTAAATGTTGTTTTGCAGCTGTTCTGTTTAGCTTGCTTCACGGTAAACATTGAATTTTTTTTCGTAGTATAGTTTAAAATCATCCAATTGGTGACCAAAATGGGTTTCTGCATGCCTTTTTTCCTTCACTTCGCAGCCAATCAATATGTGATGGCATGTTCATTTTGGATCAAGGTTGGTGGGTTATCCCTTGTGTCAGCACCCATACTTCTTTTATAGGCCTTTGTTATCGAGTAAAAATCAGGCAGTAAACTTTTTATTAGGACATGAAACTGAAAGGTCATCGAGACTCTCTTCTCATTCTTGTTGCTCATTTATGTTCCTGATTTCACTACAGGAAAAATCAGAAAGAGAAACGAGATCTCAGGGCAAGAAGGATACTGATAAGTTGGTCTTCGAGTGACACATCAGAGGATATCTTTTTTAAGAAAAGAAGAAAGATAGCACCGGAACACAGCAGCTGTTTTCACACATCAAAGCAAGTCTTTCTCAAAGCCATTAGTGTTTCTAATTGGATTCTGAAGAAAGAAGGATTAAAGACAAAAAACCTACAAGGGGTTGGTGAAGCTAGAGGTGTACCATCCGAAACAATTCAGTGGCAGCTCGAGACCAAGCTTCAACACTCTCTATCATTATCACGTCTCTTCCCCGTAAAGATTCAAATTACAAAATTTGTTAAAAGTCAGATCTCAGGAAAACACCATGCATCTTTTATACAAATGCTGGCATCGGCTTTTAAGTGCAAATGTCCTCCATTGAATCATGCCCTCCGTGTAACCAGTATTGCTCTTTACAGCATGATGCCAAGTCATACAACAAACTATGCCATAAGCAAAACCTTAAGAATGTTAATGAATACAGCTTGAAGATCGCTTCTTTGACCATGTTGCCTCATTTATACCAACCAGTAAGTAAATACCTCAACCCAAAACATATGCAGCAGCCGAGCGCCTGTAAACACAGCTACCAAATCAGTACACATGCCAACACCATCACAACGCATGTGCTGACTAAACATCTTGCATGACACACCCATGCTGAAATTTTGTTCGGACCTAGGAAGTCAATGCAGTTCCTAAATCATTACATTCCTAAGTCATTACAATTGAAAGTATGGCTAAAATGTAATTAATTCAACCTTGAACCAAGAATTCCTTGATTTTTATCAAACTAATTTAATATTGAAATGCCATCCTTGATGTTAGTGAGGTTAGGTTTTTGCTAACAAGATAACGACAAAATACTTTTTTTAAAAAAAAATACTGGTAATATTAATGAAACATATTTTTAAAAATACTGGTAATATTAATGAAACATATTTGTATGAAAACAAGACTGAAAAATCCATAAGGAGATCCTAATTTCTCTCCAGCATTTTCAGCAACCAACAGATAAAAGAAAATCTATCTGGTGTGAAGACATTCAGACCTCATTTGTTTCTTTCATAAATCTATTATTTCTACAAAAACCCAACATTGATCTCGGCAGAAAAAAAATCCCATGTTGAAGTAATTATAAAATCAACTCGAACAAGCTGAAAATATATCAACAAACAGCAACTATTTCTTTATCCTATCAAATAAATTATGTCCAACTGATATCATTCATCAATCACCCTCTTAATCTTCAGTAACAAACAAGCCTAATCATGTTGCAATTTGCAGTAGCATTAAGGTATTTGGGGTAAGAATGCTTGGTGGTGAGATTGGCATTTGTGGTAATGAAAAATGATGATGATTTTGTAATAATGAAAAATATACAAGGTGGTGAACATGTTTGGTGTGGTGAATTATGAGCGGAACTTATTTGTATATTTTGAAGGTTATTTCGAACAGATAGCAGATAAGAGAGACATAGAGTAGAAGGCTTCTCCTAATTCTTTTAATGAATATCCGTGGTAATTATATGAAAAACTTGATGCCTAAATATACATAAAAAGTTAATATAAAATAAAAACCTAATGGATGAGCCACATTAAAAAAATGCAATGCTTAGACACGAAATCAGGGATTTTTAGTTCAGAGGGTGATCTCAAATAGGGAAAAACTTAAGCGGGTTAAGCTATAATTTAGTCTCAAAATATTAATGCAACTGCATTTCTATTTGGTTTGCTTTGGAACCTGCATGTTTACAATCAAGTGAGGCAAACTTAATTTAGAAAGGAAAGATGCAAACTCAGGTATCAATGGTAAAGCTTAGCAATTTCAGCCTGATCTTCCTAGTTATAGCTGAATGAGATGGTTATCTGTATCATACAAACATATTGGTTTATGTGGGTTTTCAGTCAGAAACCATTATCAAGTAGCTTGGAACTCCTGCTTACGGCCAGTGGTGCTCACTGGTCCCAAAATTGTGAGAAGCATGGGACAGTGATGCCCAAACCCCACAGCATCAACAAGGGAAAAAGCCCCTTCCCCGCAGTGCATGAGTAAAAGGAGAGAAAATTTAACACAGAAATAAATCACCTGAACCAGAAGAAGATGCACGCAAAGTGAATTTTCTGACTTCCTGCCGAACATTCTCAAGTAAAAATTAACAAGTGTACCGTCATCTGTTCCTGTAAGAAGTCCTGTCTGAGGATCAAACCTGAAAGATAAAAAAAAGTTTATGTAAGTAAGACATCCATGGAAGACTGACAAAGGCCCATGAAATTCCCCAAAGCACAAGCTTGCAGCGAGAGATTAGAGAATCTACCTAGGCAGACGATGTCGTGGACAATGCCTGAAGCCAAAAAGCTGAAGCGGAACCACAAATTAGATGCCTTAGTGGGTAATTGGAGTTTAAAAGCTAGAGTGGGTAATTAGAGTTTAAAAGCTAGAGAGAAGACGAGTTATGAGATCAAACCTGAGGGACTGACAAGAGGAAGTTTAATACTTGTGCCAAAAAGAAAATCAGAAGTGTTTCACTGTTTAAAGAATGGAGGGGAAATATCAATCATGGGGTTATGAATAGGCATATCGATGAAAGCAAAGTAGAAAAACCCAGGATATTTGATGAATATCACAATTTTTGTCCTAATGGCACAATTGATCAGCTATCATATGACATGAGATTGCATAATGAGAAAAGGAAAACCAGTGCATGGTTAAAATAGGTACAGAAAAGCAATAGGTATTTTCTAATGTACAAACTCACAGGTATACCTAGTTCTAACAAGAAAGTCATATTTATTTGAAAAATGTTTAGTAGAGGAATACGTTGCTTCCACAACATCTAGATTTTGGACAGGTAGTCAATCACATTCACTAGTCAAAACTCTAAATGCTATGTTCTTGAGTTTTACCCATGCATGGAGATAAGTCAAATGAATTATTCCCCTAATATATTGTGAAATAAAACAACAAAAAGTTGAAAAGGTGCAGGACGCACCTAAAATGGCCTAAAATTCCAACAACAGCCATTGTCATCCCTGCAAAGTATGTATATGTATCTCCAACAAATACTGAAGAAGGATACCTAACAAGCATTAAAAAAAAAAAAAAAAAACATAAATGTTACTTCAATATACAGAAAGAACAGTACAAGAATAACCTGATAAATAGAATCAAGTGCCAATACCAATTGTAAGAAAGCAAGGCCATGGAGGTTGCCAGTAAGGGTTGGACAAGATACACAGAGAATGCATGGGCCTGTTGATACTCAGGATCCGCAGATGCTCCAATTTGCATGACATTATGTATCAAAATCTATAAAATTGCTAAGCCATGTCAGATCCCTAAGAGAGTCAGAATCCAGTTGTTCTACAAATCTTTATGCTTACCGCAGATGCGATCACAACAGTTTGACCAACTTCAAGGCCATTTATACCAGCATGAATGTTAATGCAATTTGTGCAGAAAATTGCCAAAAACCACATGTAAATCTTATATATAAATCCTGTCAAAAACAAAATGAAAAAACCATTAAGCATATGCTGGAATAAATGTGTCAAATGCCCTCATACAAACACATGTTACATGGGATATGCCCTTCTGCAACCACAAAATCTGCATTCAGCGTGACAAACAATAACCTGAGCAATTTTATATTTCCTTCCTGGTCAAATTACAAAAACTGAAGTCCAATACCATTCTATGCTAATATACTTCTGGAAAAATCAAGGTTTTTGAATGTATTGGAATTTGATTCATCTATTCACTCTTTCTCCTTGCTTCACACTTTATACAAAACAGGTGGCATACACGCTTTGAACTGTTATTATGCATGGGAGTACCTTACCAATTCAATATCACCAACCAAAATAACAAATTTCTGCAATGAACGTTTCAGATCTATTGAGTAAACATTTCATTGTAATATCCTGTGCTCTAAAAAAGGAAAAGAAAATAACAGGCAGGCGAGGTTCATAGTTACTGAAATGGTAGTTGAAGCTCAAAGACTAGATGGAGTGTTCTACAATTCAAAGATGCTTAAATGACATATGAAGTGAAGTTACAGCACAATCATTCCAGTGTTATATGTTGAATTTATCCAGACAAAAGGAAAAAAAAAATTGTTGGCTCTTCCACGATAATTGACCTTATAACACCAGCCAATTGTTAACCTTTATCAAATTTCTATGAAACAACGGTTTCTATTTCTTTTCATATAACTGAAAATGAAATTCAAGTTTTGTGATGAAAAATCTTTAATTTACTATGAAATTAGAGGTATGCTTTCTAAATTAAATATATATTAACAATAACAAAGAATCCTAGCAAAGTAGCACATGCGCATGCGTGTGTGAGAGAAGGGAGGGGGGGTGGGGGGCAACAATTATGACAATCGATGATCTCACTGTTGAATTAGAGGACATACCCAGGTCCAACAACTTGAGCCCAACATATGGAATAAGAGGCTTTGGTATAATGATAGTTGTATGTCCAGCATATGCCATCAACAAAGGAAGGGCAGCAATTGATGGAAGCACTAGTTTCCTGCTCTTAGCAAACATAAAAAAAGCCATTAGGATCCAATCAAGCATCAATTTTAAAAAAGCTACAACGATGTACTCACACTCTCCATGGAACATCAAGGACATCATCTATGAACCCGAGTAGAGTCATGAAGCAAATGGATGCTAATGCTGCATTGTACTCAACAAGCCACTGCATGATCACAAATCATGAACACAAATCCAAGAGTAAGCCTCCATGGAAACCACAAAACAGAATAAATATTGAGGAAGTAAACAAAAACACACACTTTGAAACACGAAATCAGAAATCAACTGTAAAGATATAAAAATGGTGTAAACAAATTGCAGCATAAGATCGCTAAAGATTCTTACAATGGAATCTGGCGCAAAGGTAAAAAACTGAAACACTATTGTCAAAACCATGAAGACTACCGCGACAACAATACCCAGAGACTCAGGCCTGCCGAAAACGAAAAAGTGGAAAATCTTATTAAGAAACCAGTGAATTCACAAAAACAGCTACATAATCAAAGTCAAAGTATTTAATCTCTTGGAATTAAAATATCAATCATTCATTCTCTAACTTTTACTCTATAGTTTGACCAAATATAAATATAAGTAACAAATCAATGCAACATAGGAGACAGTCACAACTCCAAAATTAATTTTCAAATCATCGGAACTTAATCAGAAAGTAAATATAGAAGTCAAATAAAAAAACTAACCATCAATGATGAATAAAACAGCCAACGAAATTTAGCATCAAACAAAAGCAGAATTTACATTTACTTTCAACTATAACAATCAAAATTGAACCTAACAAAAACCCCGCTTCTCAATTTCTATCAAAAACTTCAGATCACAGACTTCCACAAAATCAAAACCGCGAGGTGCTGAATTTATAAGGGTTACTGACAATCAAAACCAAACCCAGATCATAAAATCAATAAAAAAAACACAAAACCAACAAAAAAGACTCACACTTTAACAGTGCCTTGAGGAGTGCCCTTCTTGTTGATATCATAACCAAACAAATTCCTTCTCAAAACGTATTTAGAAGCTACAGGAATCATCTTAACAGTAAGAAAAAACCCAACAAGACTAAGACCAGCATTTATAAGAATAGGTTTTATGAGGTCGTGTTGGATCTGGTAGTGAAAAAAGAGCAAGTAGAAATATGGGGCTATTAGTAAAAGAGAGAGCTTGAAAATGAATCCCTTTTTTGGTGGCGCAATTGGTTGGTCATTGTTTGTTTCTTGAGGACGTTTCGTTTCTTTGTTGTCTGTGAGAATCGCTTTTTTTGTTGTTGTTATTGTGTCTTCTGTTGTCGTTGCTGGCTTTGAAGCTCTTTTTCTTGCCATGCTTCTGCTCTGCTCTCTCTCTCTCTCTCTCTCTGTTTTTGTTGTGAATTTTGTCTCCTTCAAAGAAGGGGTGTGGACTGATAACCAACGTTAATTTTTTTATTTTTTATTTTTCTCAAACTGGTGCCATTGGAGCTAATCAGATGTTGCCACGTAGGATACAAAGGGTCGCCACGTAGGAAGTACAGTCAAGGACAACCTTTCGATCGTTTCAACACTTTGCTAGCAGGGTTAGGAAGTTGCTGGCCCAATTTTGATTTCCAAGCACCGGTGGAGGTCTAAACACTAGGCATCCAGGCCGAAGGACATGAATCGGAACTGGTAATCCTTGCTAGCCAGTCAGCAACTTTGTTATGCTGCTCGGCTAATACAATGAAAGCTAATTCTGGGATTTACATGTAAGAAGGCCTTAATGTCAGCAACCAAAGGATCGATTTCCCAGTAGGAGCAGTCCTCGTTCTGCAGAATTTCACTGGCAGCAATTTTGGAATCTGCTTCAATTAACTCTCCCAACACTCATACGATTTATCAAATATAGAGCTTCCCTTATAGCCATGGTTTCACCTTGTAGCACTGATCAACAACGTTTCCTGATAGTCTGTTTTTATATATTGAAACTTGCTTTCTCCATGTAGATGATCCACATAAAGTATCTATTAATTATTACAATCTACAAATTATTAGATAATTCCGGAGCATTACTTTCATAAAAAAATAAAACGTGTGAATGATAATTAAAAAGCCTAAGTTTCAATAATTGATCATAATTTCAAAGTTGCAGTGGCCTTCAGATCTCACCTGCTTATAAATTCCCTATACAAGACTTCAGTGCTGACAGAATTATGTTTTCGGCACCAACCAAAAGACAAAAAGCATAAATACAACAGATTTGCCTCTGATCACCATCTAATTGCGTCGTCATTTGGAGTTGCTTGCCAAGACAAACTAATCCTTCTTGTATTTTGATGCAAGATATGGTTCTTGCAAAACTAAACCTTGAGAACAAGGCCAATAGGACAGTGATCACTCCCGTTAACATCAGGGACAATGTAGGAGTCATGAACATTGTCTGCTATGGATTCTGACACAAGAAAATAGTCAAGCCGCCATCCTGTTTCAAATTTCAGTGCAGCTACATAAATCAAAATGCATTGAGATATGATTAAACTTCTCTGAGATATCTTACAATAGCTTGGAAATTTTATGAATATAACATAAAAATGAATTCGGACCACATCAAAACTTCAAACATGAGTATAGTTACTTTTACCTTCTACTTCTTCTAGAGGTGAATCATTTTTTTTAAATCTGAAGACGTTTGAAAAAAATAAAAATGGAAGTGCTCTTTTCTGGAAAGGATTTATAGTTTGAAACTTTTGGAATTCAGGAGGTGAGATACCTTTGTTAGCTTTACGTCCACCATGTCGATAACCCCAGTAGGTATACCCAACAACATTAGGGTGCTGTTTTCTGAAGGTATCCACAAGTCCCTTCGATAAAAAACTTGACCCAAATGATTGCCTTTCTTCTTCTGTAAACCCAGCGCTTCTTTTATTTCCCTAAACATGTGCAGAAAACAAGAGAAAAAGGAAAATATTATAATGTGATTATAGTTGAAAATTTTGGTGATAATTTTATGATTGTAGGCTCAAAGCTATAAACATGCATTTGAAACTCAACCTAAAATTGGGGATCCAATACATTTGCTGACCTAACCTAATTGAGAAAATTGAAAAAACTTGGTGCAAACACATGAAATTTAAATGACTTACTGCAGGATTGTAAATATCTATCTCCTGGTGAGCACAATTCAGATCACCAGTCAAAATGACAGGCTTTGACTTTTCAAGCTCCTGCACCAAGCATGCAAAGCAGCACAAGCATTATATCAACCATGGAGATAGCTTAGTAGCTATGCCTTCTACAATTAAGATAAAAAAAAAATACATCTGCCCCCCAAAATGAAGTTGCAAGTGTTCACTTGAAAATCATGCTTACTTTCATGTAATTGCTAAGAGATGGATCCCATTGTGTAATCCTGTACGACTAGAATTACAGTAGAGTTGTTAGTCCATGAATAAATCCACCTCAGAACAGAGAGCTTAGGATGATAAAAGTACACGAAATAAAATAATCTAGTATAGTGATGGAAATAGAGCCAAGGCCAATTACCAGTCTTTTCAAGCCATCTCCAGCGTTAGGAACATAAGTATTTACTAAATAAAATGAATCAAACTCTGCTGTCACAACACGTCCCTCACAATCATGGTCTGGGATGCCTAGACCATAGCAGACAGAAAGGGGCTTTATCTGTCACACAAAATGATGATCTTCACTAAAATAAGTACTCACAAGCAAAACTATTATAAAAGCAAAATGCAAGTTTACAACTCAAGAAACTGGGATCAAAGTACTTTTAGAGAGGTCAAAAAAGGATCACAACCTTTTTACCATGAAGGCAGAAATATTTGGTATTCAGAAATAGTTCAACTCAAATTCTAATCTCTAGATAAGTAGATCACAATTCCATCATGTTAGCCTTTTGACAAGCTAGAAACAACTCGTTACTGTCAGCTTATATTTTCATCTATGATATTATTCCGCAATGTGGGTATAATTATATGACATGAATGATAGAGAGAGTCATCTACATCAGGAAAACATGTCATTAGGAACAAATCTGATGTTCTGTGATTCTAAAAAGAAATTCATGGACAGAGTCAGAAAAGGATAAGCATACCCGAGAGACAATTGCAGTCCCAGAATAACCAAGTTTAGCATTGCTACATGTCCAGAAGCTATTCTCATAACCATCTATCAGACATTGTTTGATGGAATCAACATCCTTCTCCTGCTTCCAAAATCAGAGGGAACAGTCAAGGAACCGTCAATTTAAAGAATTTAACCTAGGGTTTGGAATGATTAGGCACCAGATGCTAGATATTTGTTCCAGCAATGAAAACAATGTTAATCAGATAACTCTAATTAAACACCTCATGCAATCATATGTGCGACAATACACTTGCCTGCAGTTTGGTCTCTTGCAAGCACAACACGTCAAAGTTTTCCCTTTGGGCAAGTTCAAGGGCAGAGAATCCCTCAAACTTCAATAATGCTCTTAACCCATTGACATTCCAAGACATTAGCTTCACCGAGTTTCCATCAGTGAGAGGTGCAGGCCTCATGGTTCTGGGGTTATACGGAATCCACCCTTTCTGTGGCTTCTTATGTGAAAGAACTGTCCAGGGTTCAGCTTGAGGCAAAGTAACAAGATCATCAGTTTTAATTGAAAGCTTCCTCTTTGAAGTGACTATTTCAGTATCAACTTTGACAATTTCATCCTCAACATAGGATTGTTTCATCCTTCTCTTGCTCTGTTTAAACCCAGAAACCTCTGAAACAGTGTTAATGCTTACAACGCTGCTCTCATCAGATGTACGTTTAGTATTCTTTTGCAGTGAAATATTTTCCAGAGAATTAAAGGAAACACGCTCTTCTAATTCCTGAGAGCTTTCACCTGCATGTGTGGGAAACAGCTAATTATCAGAATTTTGTAAATGAGAAAGATACTTTTTTCAATAGTTAGAGAAAGTCCTCTTTCACCCTAGCTAAATAACAACGACCACATCAAGCTCCCAAATTTACTGCCAGAAAACATAAAGACTTATTTTAAAACTAGTATTTGTTACCATCTATCTGCTTGCCCATGAAATGCTTTAAAGCAAATACAAGGTCACCTTTACGACCTTTGGCAGGGACTCCAAATTTCCTGAAATTCCAAAGCCGACATTGAAAACCAAGGATCAATGCACATACAAATGCAGTGCTACTTTCATAAAATATTTTGACTCCAGAAAACCAAACAAGTGAGGTTAGAGAAAAAAACTATTGCACTTTTCAGTCAAAACAAAACCTATATACAAGCATCGGAATTTCCTTTACCTCAATGTTGCTCTAAGTTCCTGAACTGTCATCGCTTCTATTTTTGCTGGATCTTCCTTGATACTTTGAAATTCAACTGACTGGACTTTCCAGCAACTTTCCTAAAATTCAAGCCAGTCATTTATTACTCAACTGTCCATTACTGCAAACATCACAAAACCATATCAAATTTATTTATTCTTTTCAAACACTAACCTCGATTAAAACATCCTCACTACAATCACCACTCATCCCCTTAAGTTTACTATCTTTCTTATCATCAACAATTGAAGCAGCAGCAGATTTGATTGAACTCGAGACACCTCGTTTAGAACTCATCACCCTTAATCTCAAAGAACCTAGTTGTCCAATCTTCAAGCTCCTTGGCCTAGCTGCAAAACTACAGCATTCTATTTCAATTACTGCTTTCTCATTTCAAAACAACAAAAGCTACAAATTTTCATTCCCTTCACATTCAACTAACAAAACTATCATGTATCTTAATCAAGTTATGAACTTTCAGCGAACCCATTATTGTAAAAGCTACAAAGGTGAAGTATTGGCTAACAAAATCAAACCAAAAGGCAAAACCATGCAAAAAGCTTCGAACTTTGAACTGGAATAAAAGAGAGAAATAAAAATATTCAAAAAGAGTCTTAAAACCTGGAGAGATTAATGAAAGACTTGACCCCTATTTGCAACGCTTGAAGACTCATTGATCAAGAAATGAATAAACCCAGTAACATAGAGTGACACGGGTGCGTACGTTAAGCTGGATTAGGGCGCAGGTTAGCATTAGCAGCGTGTGATAAAGAACCGCCAATGTGGGTTTTGCTTTGCAAAGAGAGAATGGTAAGAGGATTATAGAAACACCGCGTCTTTGGGCACACGTTCGCTTTTCCGCAGGAATTTCGCACAATTTATGTTTCCCAACACTCTTTACTTCACCTTTTCATCTCTCGACTGGCTCAGTGTCTGAAAGTTTTTCGGTGTTTTCGTTTTTGTTTTTTAAATAATTTTTTATATTAAAATATCTATTAATATTTTTTTTAAAGAAAATTAATATTAATATATTAAAATGATCTAAAATAAATAAATTATATTAAATTTTAATTAAAAAAATTAAAATTTTTAAAAATAAAAATTGAACCGCGTTTCCAAACATCCTCTCAATTTAAACTTCAGAATTAATTATGATGTGTTTGCTTTAGTTCTAGAATAACAACATCATAACTTATATATATAAGTGAATAAATTAAATATTACAATTTTTAAATATAAAAATATATTATAATAAAATATTAGTTTTATTAATTACATTAATTATTTAATAAAATATTTATCTATATATTTATTTTCCAAGAATTTAAAACACCTAAAAAATTATAATCATATTCAAACATGATTAAAAATTATATATTTCAATAAAATAATTAATTAAAAAATAACCATACATGTATATTGTAGTAATTCTTGCCTTATTGGATCCTTAATAGTTCAATAAATTCATAAGTTTTTTCCTAGATAAAAAATATAATTTACAAAATATATTAAGAGTGTCTAGTAGAACCCATATATTTAACTTCCATATAAATTAATTAAACTCATTATTTATCTATTACAATGATTAATTTAAAAGTTTATTATCTTAACATGTTTATTCATCAAAATAATATTTTCATTAGTTAGGAGATAATCTCATTGACTCATCCATTCAACAAGACATTATTACTAGTAATCAGAAAATTATTTTATCTACTTACCCATTTAATATAACATTATTTTCAGTATCCAGGATTCAACACATATTATTGCTAATAATTAGGAAATAACCTACTCGACCCACCTATTTAATAAGGCATTATTTTTAGTAACCAAAAAACAATCTTCTCGACTCATCCATTTAACAAGACGTTGTTACCAGTAACTAGGAAATTATTTTATCTACTTGCCTATTCACTATGATATTATTTTCAATAACCAGGATTCATCAGGGTATTATTTCAGTAACTAGAAAATAATTTTCTTAACCTGCTTATTCAACGGGGCATTATTTTTAATAACAAAGAAATAATCTTCTCGACTCACCTATTCAATATGATATTATTACTAATATTTAAGAAATTATTTTATCTAGTTGCTCATTCAACATGGCATTATTTTCAATAATCAGAATTCAACAAGGCATTATTCCTAGTAACAAGGAAGTAATCCTCTCGACTCACTCATTTAACAAGGCATTATTTCTAGTAAACAGGAAATTATCTTCTCAACTTGCCCATTCAACAGGGCATTATTTTATCTCTATCTCTCTCTATTTTTTTTCTTTTAATCTATATACCAAAAATCACAATTTATGAAAATTTCTTCTACTATTAGTTAAAATAAGCTATTTAATTATTTCAAGGTGATGAACACCTACCTAGTGTCTATGTGTGTAAAGAGATCTCTTGTTCCTGGATAGGTCCTCCGACCTTCTCTATACCAAACATAAATTACTATATTATTTTCATTTATTGATATCTGTAAAAATTCTAATATCAATTATGTATTTGTCGAATATACTCAACACCCTTAATTAAATTTAAATGAATCATTTATTTATTTATTTACAAAATTCATTATTCAACTTAACCTATCAACATCAATTATCCTTAATTGTGCAATATCTCTCAAGAATATGATGAAAACTCTTTTTTTTTTTAATTTTCTTCTTTTAACCAAAATTAACCTAAGGAAGTAAATAAAGATTTTTTTTATTTTTTTATTTAAATCCTTACTCCTTTTATAATAATAACACTTATAAACCTATTTCTTCCTATATTTTTCAAATAATTATATTAAAACCTCAAATCCCCTAATTATTTTCTCTTTTGACCCAAAGTTCTAAAAAAAAGGAGGAAATAATTTTTATTTTTTATTTAAAATTAAACACTTACCCAATCTTAATACATGCATTCTAACATAGTTTAATTATAATTTACATCATTCCCATAATCTATAAAATAAACCCATATTTTCACATAATTCAATTCTATGTAATCCTTCATCAAACATAAAATTAGAGGAATAAATAATTTGGAGCATGATATTTAGCTTATTTTGATAAGGATTTAAGAAAAGAATGCAAGAAAAAAATCAAGTTTTCTTTTCTTTCCTCGTCAAACCCTAACTTGAATTTTTTCTTCCAAAACACTCACCACCTTAAAATCATCCCCTCTTGATGTTTAACTAAGTTAATCACTCTAATTACTAATTTTAATTGGTGAAATTAACAAGAATTTGTGTAGAAAAATTACATAATTTCTCCTCCTCTTTTGGTTTCACACTCTCGGTTAAAAGAGAGAAAAATTGGAGTATTTACAGTTTAGATTTTATTTATTTACACATTAACCCTCATTACTTTTTATTTCTATTTTTGTCACTTAATTTTTCTTTTTACTTAATTACACCACAATACCTTACCTTTTATTCAATTGTGTCCATTTACAATACCTGAAATCCTTTTATTTAATCTATTATGTATTTTATTTTGTTCAGATTATAATTTATTAGGTTTTCATATTCTCCTACCCTAAAAGGAAATTTTGTCTTTGAAATTTGGACCTCATACCTAAATTTGGGAATAACTCGAGGTGTTTTTGTCTTATTTGAGATTCTGTTTTCCAAGTCACCTCCTTGATTTGGGAATTTTTCCACAATATCTTGATCATTAAAATCTTTTTATTCCTCAATTCTTTCACATTGTAATCTAAAACTTTAACTTGCTTCATTTCAAATGTTAAATTCTCATTAATTTCCAGAGGAATTTGAGGCAAGACCCGAGATGGATCTATTTCAGCTTTTCTTAACAGAGAGACATGAAACACATCATGGATTTTGCCCAAATGAGGAGGTGAGCTAATTTGTAGGCTACAGGCCTAATCCTTTTAATGACCTCAAAAAACCCAACATACATTGGCCTTAGTTTTCCTTTCATGTCGAATCTTAATTCATGTTTCCACGGGGCTACTTTTAAAAATATTTTATCACCAATTTCAAAATTTAAGGGTCTTCTCCTATCATTTGCATAACTATCTATCTTGCACAACTTTCATTTTATTCCTTATAATCTTTATTTTTTCTAAGGTAATCTATACTAGCTTTGGTTCCATTAGTTATTTATTCCTTACTTCTTCCCAACACACTAGCGTTCGACATCTTCAACCATATAAGGCTTTATAGGGAGCCATTCTTATTGTAACCCAATAGCTTTTGTTGTAAGTGAATTCTACAAGTGGTAGATGATCTTCTCAATTTCCCCCAAACTCCAATATACAGGTTTTTAGTAAATCCTCCAATATTTGGATAGTCCTCCCAAATTGACCATTAGCCTAAGGATGAAAAGCGGTGCTTAAATTTAACTTTGTTTCAAGAGCCTGTTGAACACTTGGCCATAATCAGGAGATAAACCTTAGATCTTGATCTGAACTTATTGACATTGGCACAAGCGTATAACCTTACTACTTCATTTACATACAATTTTGCTAATTTCTCCACTGAATCTATCATTTTCATTGACAAAAAAAATGCAGATTTAGTTAATCAATCCACAATAACCCAAATAGCATCATCCCTCCTTTTCCTCCAGGTAATCCAAAGCTGGTTTTTTGGTTTTCACCTTTATTTGCAAGCAAACCTCACACTTAGCCACATATTCATTTCATATTCAGCCACCAATAAAATTCTTTTAAATCCCAGTATATTTTAGCACTTCCAAGATGTGTTGCAAGTCTCGACTTATGAATCTCCTGTAAAACTTTTCTTTTCAGTGTTTGATTACCTAGTAAGTACATTTATCTTCCAAGGACTACCATTTTATCTTTCTTGATTTGGAACAACATCTTGATTCTTGACCTCACCTTTTCCTTTATCTTACAGACTTTTAAATCTTCTTGTCGAGCTTCTAGTACTCTGTCTCAAAGGGTTGACATCACTCTTAACTGAGTCACTAATGACTCATCCGATCCCACCTCTAACTAGGGATCAATCTTTATTAACTCTAGCAATTCTTTTTCATCTCAATCCTCTTAGTGAGTATCTATTATCTTGACCTTACGACCAAGAGCATTTGTAACTACATTTGCTTTTCCCGGATGATAATCAATTATACAATCACAATCCTTTATCAATTTCATCCAACGTCTTTGTTGCATATTTAATTTCTTTTGCGCCATTAAATACCTCAAACTCTTATGATCTGTGAATATCTAATTTTAAATTATATATCAAGTAATTAATCTCATGAGCCTTTAACTATCTTGAGATATACACAATTATTTTACTGTGTTATATCAACATATACCCTAATCTTGTCTTCAATGCATCACTATAAACCACTAATCTTTTTCTAAAGTGTTAACGCTAGTGTAATAATAAGTCTCATTTTCAGTTCTTGCTAAAAAGTAATTATAAAACATATTAAAATAATATTTTTAATATTAACACATAAAAATATATAAAAAAATAATTTAAACAACAAAATTTAAATTTTTATAAATCTTTATTTAAGCCCCATTTCCAATTTGGAATAAATTAGTTCATTCAAATTCCTTTTCAATTATTAGAAAAATATCGAGGATAAGCTTCATATTGCTTTTCAATTATTAGAAAATATTGAGGCTAAGCTTCGTGTCCTTTTTACAACAATAAATATTTGAAAAATACCTCATCACAGCTATGTTAGAATAAAAAATTCAAATATATTACAAATATATAATCTTGATACACATTATTTTAAAAAAATTATTGTGACAAAACTTGAAATTATAACTCTCGATCAAGTTTCAGTTTTAGGTAAAACATGCATGTATAAATTAATAATAAAAAAAAATTCTTATCATGATTTCTCCCAGGACTCCAACAATGGAGAACATAACAAGGGTTTCTTTAGCTAAGTTGCCATGTTGTTTTTCTCCTTTTATTGTTCCTTTTAGATGTCCGGTAATTTCCA